GACCTATATTATAGCTCTATAAATGAAGCACAGACTTTATTAGAGCCACAGAAAGACAAACGTTTTGCTGAAAATGCACAATACACAATTCATTATGTACATTAACAACGATTCGGGACCAATATAATGTAATTTAAAAGAAAACTATGTGAATGGCGCTCTGTGGCGCGGCAGGATTTTCTGTCGGCTGCATTTTGTCTGAAGTTTCCCGCTCTGTTCAGCGTGTAGCATCATATGTCTAAACAAATAGCACATTCTGTCAGTGATTTCAACCACTAGAGGCTGCTCTCGCACTGTGTAATGACAGCAGACCCTTCTCAGCCGCTCCAGCAATGGACGCAACCCGGGAAAACTATCGGCATGGATTTTTGTCGATAACCAATAGTTCCAGCAATCAACTATCGGTGCCGATTAATCTGCAAAACCGATACATCGGTCGACCTCTAGTGTTAATGTCTTTAATGCGAGTGTCCGCTATTGTATTTTCCTTTTGATTTTACATTTCTCTGCTTTGTTGTACCATGGGACGCAAACTTTCCTCGGCGAAAAAACGAAAAATGTTCCCAACATGCCAACGCCACTTTCTGAGGAAAGACCTTGAGGGTGACCGGAGCAGAGAAATCTAAAAAGAAAAAAAAAACAAACACCGAAAACTATCTTTGACCTTGGTGATAACTGATTGACATCCTTGACTCATGCCCGGTGACGTGTGTCATGGCATGCCAAACACAGAAGACATCTAATTCTGTGCTTCTCTGCTCTGTCTCACCCTTTAGGTGACTTTGTCTCAGACTCCTATGGCTACCACGAGTTTGCGACATAAACCGCCCAATGTTTTCAATAAGCACGCAAACGTGAAACGAAAAATAGAGACAGAGGGGAAAAAAACACTGGTTACCCGCATTATGAACTCGTTTCCTTGTGATGTTTCGCCCACAATCTCACCTCAAAAAACCTGCACCTACGATCAACTAACACTGTGGATGTGAACGGGAGTTTCTGCCTGTGGAAATCAAGAAAAGCAAGATGTTCTGATGTATTATTTGTGCCGCGATCAGCGCAGTCGAGCAATGTGATTGGCTGATGGATGGTCACAAAGTAGCGGACTGCCATTTCATAATGACTGCATCTTCACTCTGAAGTCACTGTATAAGCCATTTTTTGCCAACAGTTTAGTTGTTTTTCCTGGAATAATGCTCCCGATGGATTTTTAATTATGGCACTTCCATACATTGCCATGTTTTTGTTTATTTAGTTTTCTTTTTTAATTGTGGTCAATGCCATTTATTGTGAGAAACTGGGTTTGTGAGAGGAGTAGGCACCGATTTTTAATATCAGAATGTTATCAATTCTGTGAACTGTTGAACAAATGGGGTACATTTGCTGCATTTTTGTTTTTAAATTTGATGTTTGTGAATCACATCATATTTTGCAATAAATTTGATTTCATTTACAAACCTGTGATATCTATGTAAACTTTTATTATTAGTAGTAGTTTTTTTTTTTTGTTTTTTTGTTAATTAAACAGATTTGCATAGGTTTAGGGTCTTTTTTGTATTTTTATTTTTTTTTGTTTAGCTAGTATTACGATTGAAAACAGTGTGTAAACTCTTTTAGTGTTTTGCAAAGAGCTTTTGGCCTCTTCTATTCAATCCCAAAAAAATCTTTGTATACAGATATGCAAAGCCAGTATTTATTACTGCAATTGCTTTTGTAACCACTGTCACATGTTTTAGAAAACTAAATTGGTATTAAGCTGAGGTCACACTAAATTTTCAGCATGCAAAATTGTTACAGACAGTGCAGCGGTCATATGACAAACTATAGCACCTTTTGTTTGTTTTTGTTTTTTTAAGAAGAAACATAAATTCAACGTATAACTAGGGCTGTCAAATTTGGCTGACGATTAATTGTCTAAAAATAGTCACGGTTATTGCGATTAATTGTCTGTTTTAGGGCTTTCATTATATGATTGATTAATTTAAGGGTTCAGTAAATAATTGTTATCTTTTAATCTTTTCGAGTTATTATTTTGCAGTGTAAGATTACATGAAGTATTCCAAATTCTAAGAATTGGCCAATACCGATCCAACACCAGCGCTACTTTTGTTTTTGTTTTCTCCACCACTACAGAATATCAATGCTGTGTTTGTGGAACTAATGGTCACTCTTTTAAACCCTTTGTTAAACGCAATCCACTAAATACTCACTTCCTCATTACAGAGAAAAACTACATTTGAATAAAAATATATAAGCTATGAAATTAAACTAGCTGACTGTATAATTTAGCAGCAAAAACAATATCTTGAGAAAAAATCTTTGGTGCACATTATACAATTTAAACATGTTTATTCTGTTAACTATTTGTATTCTTGCAAAATACATTCATGAATATAAGATAGAAATCATGAGAAAAAGAAAGACTTTCTGTTTGTGATAATTCCTTCCTTAAACTTAAAAGTATTATAATGGGAATATATCATCTTGGAGCGAGAGCAAGCACTGTCACCGTTAGTGTTACTTTTTTCTTTTTGTTTTCATTTTTGAAAAACGTATCTTTGCCGTTTACCTCACATTACGCTATGGAGGCTCTCTTATTTATTTATTTGATTCCTCAGTGTTTGCTAAACGTTCTGTAATTTATTAGTCGGTATATAATACAGCATGTGGTGTATGCCATGCCTCATCTTATTCGTTTTTGTTAAACATTTTGTAAGCTAGTTTGTCACTGTATCTTACTGATTTATTGTTGTTGTGCTTTTTAATTAAGAATAACAATGAATCCATCTTTTGTTTTAGTCTTAAAAAAAAAAGAAAGGTGTGTAGATGTATGTAAGCAAATAAGTGACAACAAGATCGCGAATTCGAAAGTGAAAGCATCCGAAGCTTAACACGGCAAAAGAGAAACTCCCGTTCACAAAATTCAAATCACAAATAATACTACTGATGATAAAGAACGGGTTGAATGTTAACCACTTTCATTTCCATATAACTATAAACTATGATAAAAGTTCATCAACATGCATTGAATAATCCTATGTTGTAGCGCAAAACAATATATAAATAAATATTGGGACCAAATCATGTGCTCGTGCGACCAGCTGAGAAATTTAGTTGCAAAAGAGCGAAATAATGAGTCTGGTATAGGCTATACAGTGCATGAAAAGCAAACTGGTGCTCTTCTGTTTCTTTTGGTGTATGACTCCCCCTTGTCTCATATAAAAAGCACAATAATCGCGGTGCGGTTATTTAATTATCGCGACAGGCCTACGTATAATGCATCCAAAATGTAAAAATATACAGTCTACTCCACTTTGTGTTCTTTTAATTTAACCACGATGTATTGATCTTCTATTGGTCACGTCTTGTTTGATTAATTTCGCAGGTCCGAACTCGAACTTTGTAGAGCAGCGAAATGCGAAACATTTTAACGAAAGCTTGCATTTCTGCTCTCTTGCATTCGCGTGTGTTTAAATGGAAGTAAATTGACAAAAGTGTAGTGTGACACTTTTACTATTTCAAAGCCAGAAAATGCAGATAGTGGTTTTATTGAAGCTTGGGTCAGTAACTCGCGTCGAAATGTGTGAACTGAGACTTCAAGACATCATACCCCATAACATTTAATTTTTGGTAGTGTTACGTTAAATATTACCCTGAATTGATGTATATTTTGTATCAAGTTTCAATGTACAGCAAAAAGTTTTTAGGTTTGTTCCTTAAAAGCCAGTAATATGTTGATTCTGTATAAGCATTCTGTTTTATAGTGTGAATAGAGTTAGAATTGAATGCCCATTTGTTAACCTTTTACTGTATTATTCCTCTTCAGATTTCTATAATAACGGAGGGTCTAATGATGGACCGGTGGCCTCAGGTCCTGGATCATCAGGTCCAGGCACAAACCTGTCTTCTGGAGGTGCTGCAGGGGCGGGTGGTTTCGGCTCGTATTACCAGAGTGATGGCAGCTACACGTCCCCCACTGGAACCCCAAAACCGGCCGGTAATAAGCCGCCCATGCACCAAAACACCAAGCCTCAAGGATCCGGAGTGGGCCAAGGGGGTTCCTTCGGTCAGTACGGCCAGGGCTTCGGACAGAAGAAGAACTTTGGCCAGGCTCAAGGTGGTGGTGGTGGAGGAGGAGGTGGAAACTTCAACTACAGCACTGCTTATCCCTCACAAGTGACCGGAGGACAGGACTACAGCTATGAAGGTGAGAAAAACAGTCCGAGTTACAAGTTTGGGAGTCTTAAAGGGGTCATATGATGCGATTTCAATTTTTCCTTTCTCTTTGGAGTGTTACAAGCTCTTGGTGCATGAAGAAGATCTGTAAAGTTGCAAAGACTAAAGTCTCAAAACCAAAGAGATATTCTTTATCAAAGTTCAGATTCAGCCACACCCTCCTAAAACGGCTCGTTCTAACGCGCCCCCACATATCTACGTGGGCAGTGTAGAGTAGCACTTGTTGTTTGTCATTTCTCCGATCACAAAGGCAGACACAGTTTTATGTTTACGCGGCGCTATGCAATGCAACGCGTAAAAAGACAGTATAAGTCATTATAATAAGTAATTATGTCCCCACTGGATGCAACAAATGCCTCGTTTATAATGGGTTTTAATGTTGTCTCGTCGCTCCGGCCGGACAGGGCATCACAGTATGGTGAGGGGCATAACATTTCCGTCACACGCTTGAGGTATTCAGCCAATCACAATGCACTGGATAGCTGGCCAATCAGAGCACACCTCACTTTTTCAGACCGATGAGCTTTGTAAAAATCGAAAGGCGGGGCATAGAGGAGAAACAATAATGTACAGTATGTGGAAAATGTGTTTTTTGAACTTCAAACCGCATAAACACATTTCATTACACCAAATACAGCATCATATGACCCCTTTAAAGGAATCGTTCACCCAAAAATTAAGACTAGCTGAAAATGTACTCACCCTCAGGCCATCCAAGATATAGATTAGTTAGTTTCTTCATCAGAACAGATTTGGAGAAATGTAGCATTACATCACTTGCTCAGCAATGGATGCTCTGCAGTGAATGGGTGCCGTCAGAAGGAGAGTCCAAACAGCTGATAAAAACATCACAATAATCCACTCCAGTCCATGAATGTGAATGCGATTGAAAACGCTGGTGCTAATAATAATGCTAATCTTTTATGTTTGAAGGTGTAATGAATATAGATCCGCTTAAATATACAGATTTTCAAATAAAAAAGGTTTGTGAAACTGGCTATTGAAAACTTAATGATTTGTTAAAAAGTGTAATAGAGAGCCGCTCTAAATACATATAAACATTTTTTTCTGATAAATACATGTCTGTGGACGCCACAATTGAAAACGCCGGTAATAGTAGTAATAATGCATATTCAAATATTTTGTGTTTAATGGTGTAACGTTGGTAATACAGAGCCGCTCTAAATGTTCAGAATATTTGTAATGAATGTTTGCGGACTCCTTATTGAAAACTCCGGTAACGACAGCAACATAAATGTTTCAAAGTTTAATAAATATAGAGCCGCTCTTCCTGGTTTACGCCGCGTTTTTGTTACGGCGCTTACGGCTGACGTGACGTGACGTCATGTCCGTCTCCCCATCCGAGCGCAAGGCGACTCCAGCATGGCTGACACCGGGCTTTTAGAAGCACTCTTACGGCTGCTGGAGAAGGTGGACGGCGGCATCGAGAGCCAGGATGTGGCGGCGGATCTCGGGGTGGATCATCAGCTGATCGTCGGCGCGGTGAAGAGCCTGCAGGCGCTGGGAGAGGTGAGCCCGCTCTGACTGATGCAACAGCGGCGCAAACCAACCGGACACATCCGATCCCCATGATCTGTGTTCATCACTGAAATCATGCGGATCAGCGCATTACAAAGAAGTCATCTTACAGACCTGTTAAAATAACTTGATATAAGCGAAACATAGTTAGGATATCTGTGTCTGTCTGTCTGTCTGTCTGTCTATCTATATCTATCTATCTATCTATCTATCTATCTGTCTGTCTGTGTCTGTCTATCTGTCTGTCTATATTATTCATCTGTTTGTGTGTCTGTCTGTCTGTCTGTCTGTCTGTCTATCTATCTATCTGTCTATCTATCTATCTCTGTCTGTCTCTCTGTCTGTCTGTCTATATTATTCATCTGTTGTGTGACTATCTGTCTGTTTGTCTGTCTGTCTATATTATTCATCTGTTTGTGTGTCTGTCTGTCTATCTATCTATCTGTCCATCTATCTGTCTATCTATCTCTGTCTGTCTGTCTATCTGTCTATCTATCTGTCTATCTATCTATCTCTGTCTGTCTATCTATCTATCTCTGTCTGTCTGTCTATCTATCTCTGTCTGTCTGTCCGTCTGTCTATCTATCTCTGTCTGTCTGTCCGTCTGTCTATCTATCTCTGTCTGTCTGTCCGTCTGTCTATCTATCTCTGTCTGTCTGTCCGTCTGTCTATCTATCTCTGTCTGTCTGTCCGTCTGTCTATCTATCTCTGTCTGTCTGTCCGTCTGTCTATCTATCTCTGTCTGTCTGTCCGTCTGTCTATCTATCTCTGTCTGTCTGTCCGTCTGTCTATCTATCTCTGTCTGTCTGTCCGTCTGTCTATCTATCTCTGTCTGTCTGTCTCTCTGTCGGTCTATATTATTCATCTGTTGTGTGACTCTATCTGTCTGTTTGTCTGTCTGTCTGTCTATATTATTCATCTGTTTGTGTCTGTTTGTCTGTCTATCTATCTATCTATCTCTGTCTGTCTGTCTATCTATCTATCTCTGTCTGTCTGTCTGTCTGTCTGTCTATATTATTCATCTGTTGTGTGACTATCTGTCTGTTTGTCTATATTATTCATCTGTTTGTGTGTCTGTCTGTCTGTCTATCTATCTATCTATCTGTCCATCTATCTGTCTATCTATCTCTGTCTGTCTGTCTCTGTATTATTCGTCTGTTTGTGTGACTCTCTATATGTCTGTCTATCTATCTATCTATCTGTCTGTCTGTCTATATTATTCATCTGTTGTGTGACTCTATATGTCTGTCTATATTATTCATTTGTTGTATGGCTCTCTATATGTCTGTCTATCTGTCTGTCTATCTATCTATCTATCTATCTATCTATCTATCTATCTATCTATCTATCTGTCTGTCTGTCTCTCTGTCTATATTATTCATCTGTTTGTGTCTCTGTCTGTCTGTCTATCTATCTATCTATCTGTCCATCTATCTATCTATCTATCTCTGTCTGTCTGTCTGTCATCTATCTCTGTCTGTCTGTCTGTCTATATTATTCGTCTGTTTGTGTGACTCTCTATATGTCTATCTATCTATCTATCTATCTATTCTTTGTCATATATTACGGTTAAATGCCATTAAGCACGTCGCAACTCTTTTAGAGGGCCTGTATTTTGTAGCATATTATTGTACATTAGCAGAACATTCCTGTTTTTCTTGACCCTTGTTAGTATCAGTATATATGCTGCTTTGTAATAGAAACGTGATTGTTTCTCCGTCTTAACCTGTTTGAATCCCGTTCTCAGGTGATCTCGGCGGAGCAGAAGTCCTCCAAACACTGGGAGCTGACAGGAGAGGGCTGTGAGATTGCGGAGCAGGGCAGTCATGAAGCCCGAGTGTTCAACGCCATCCCAGACAAGGGTCTGCCGCAGAATGAACTCATGGTGAGAGATGAAAGAGTCGTCTATAGTGTATACTACTGGAGAAAACATGTATTTTGACTATAATGAGTGCCGCTAGGATGAATCTCATGAAAACAGAAAGTATTTTCTGCCAAGTTTATTTAAACATTATCAATTATTTAAAAAAGCTATTTTTTACTGTGGAAAAACAATGTTATTTAAATGTTTATTAAAGTATATTTGTAAAGTACAATTGGACATAATCTATATCATGGGAGTATGCATATATTATGCGAAATATACCTTTGTTTTTAATAATATATATATATATATATATATATATATATATATAT